ATCCGGAACTGTCTGGTCTGTCTATTGGTCTAACAAGGATGGTGGGATTGATATGGGATTTAATAGGTCTTTTCCATCTCTGTGTTTGCAATTCCATTAATCCCATTTCCTGCGCATACTGCAGGAATAGTTACAAGGTTCCAAGTCTTGCTGATTACCTGGAATTGTTCTTGATGAGTGTCTCTTTTTAGCTTTTTGACTTTTTTAGGAGAGCTGAGGCGCAACTGAATGGTCCTTGGATGCTAAACTGTGCAACCTGAAATACCAGTGCTGCTGCTGGCATGGACCTTTATAAATATGCAATGGGATCCTGGATGCCAACTTTTAAATTTTGCTTTGCGATTTGCATTTTCAAAACTGAGGTTGAGGACTTCAGTCACTCATTTCAGAGCAGGGGGAAGCCAAAGAAATCACCCTCTCCCCCCCAAATCTATTACTTGGCTTTAAATATTAAATAATGCAGCAGCCAAGGGGGGGTGCTTTCTTCTCCTTCCCTCTCCAGACAGTCAAATGTGTTCTCTTTTTTTTAATTCCGTTTCTTTTGCTTTCTGTTTCATTCTTTTAATCTTTTACCTGAGACTTTTTTATGATTTGCATTGTTTGTTAGTTACATTATAATGCAATATTTATCTCAGTCTGAAGGGTCAAGACTTTGGAGAGACTCTAGAAATGGTGCAAATTAATCCTTAGGGAAATTAGCCATTAGATCCTCAGCAGATTATTCAGATTATTTTTTTCTCATCTATTTCCTTGTGATTTTGTTCTTTCTTCTTTCCATTTCCTCTATGCACATTTAGGATCTCTCTCTTTCTTTTATTGGTCCTTTCCTGTTGTCTGGCCTCTCCTTCCATTCATCCCCTCTTGTTTCTATCCCACTATTTACTCCCCTTTTCCAGTTCCCTTCTTTCCCCCTCTCCTTTCCTCTCCTCCTCCTCTCACTTTGGGGAGTTGTTTTCCTTATTTTGGGCCTGGGGGTAGGGGGCAGCTGTTGTGTTGGCAAAACTGTCAGTACAGAGTTTCCTTATGACAAGATGAGTCATGTAAAGAAGGCACCTTTTGTGTGCCCACACGTGTTGCACTGCCCCGGCACCGGCTATGTAGAATGTATACAACCCTTGCAAGGATAGTCCGATGCATCCGATGAAGTGAGCTATAGCTCAAGAAAACTTATGCTCAAATAAATTTGTTAGTCTCTAAGGTGCCACAAGTCCTCCTTTTCTTTTTGCAAGGATAGTGTCTCCCTGCAGGAAGGTGATGTGGGAAAGGACTTTCCCAAAGTGAAAGGTGGACTGGTGATCACCCCCCATATATGGCAACCAGGTACTGGTTATCCATTGACTTAATACTATATGTTTTCCATGAGTTATCAAGTGACTAGACCTGCTCCCACTTAAGTTAATACCAAAACTCCATTGACTTCAGATGGATCAGGACTGAGGCCAAATTGTAAATCACTTGAGTATTATCCACCATCTGCATTCTAACTGAATTTATTTTATGTTCTTTCTTCTCTTACATGCCTCAGCACAAAACCCAGGTGATCTAGTTTTGCAAGTAAAGTGCCTTTGGTGTATGTTATCATACAATATTTTTCTTATTGATCTCATCTTCACAGGCATTTACATGACATCCATCACTGGTGTCCAGGTGCCTGTGGGAGTGACGTTATTTCTGATTTATTACATTCATATACCTGCCTGTCTCTAGGAGCTGATTAATCCTCTGTCCTACTCTTCTGGATGGAACAGCTCAAAAACGGTCCTTTTCATAGTGATGAGAAACAAGGAAACTGCAGAAAACAGAAATGAAACTGAAGGTCAAAAGAGAAGTTTCAGGGATTGCGCCAGGCAATGAGCAAGGTCTTCTATGGAGTGCTTCTGAGCGAGGAAGTTAGAGCTCTGCAGCAGGCAGTGGCGAAATAGGACTGCAAAATAGGGCTTGACCAGAAACTCAGATCTCAGTTATTTTTTTCATTCTGTTTTTTATTTTATTTCTCTTTCTGTTTTATTCTTTCAGTCTTTTACTTGCTTAAGTGACACAGAAGCATTTAAAAAAAAATTAAATACACGGTACTTAATTATTTAATTAAATGCAAGGTACTTCTTTGGCCCTGATGGAATGGCAGTGCCAGAGCATAGCACTATGTGTCCCACACTGGGGAGAAAGAGTGGAGCATCACCCCTTTACTGATGTTTCCTGCTATACCCTTTTCCAAACTGATGTACTCGGGCAGCTCTGAAAGGGCATTTTGCACATTCAGCAGCATGGACGTGTTTAATTTCATTTCACTGCATTTCATTGCCCCTAGGTACTAGACATTTGAACCTTAACTGCGCTTGCTTTTGTAAAATTAAGGTCACAAACTTACTATTTCTTAACTGTATTTTTTTGGCTGAGGAGTGTTTTTCTAGTGGTGTTCAACTTCTTTCAGTGTTTTGAGTGGTTTCCAGAAATATGCTACAATAATAATAGGCCTAACTGTAGAAGCTCGTTGACTCACAATGCAGAGCAGAGGTGAAGAAAAGTGCTACCTTTCAGCTTCTTCAGAAGGTTCTTTTTGAACAGTGACTTTGCTTTAAAAAAAAAAAAGGGTCCATTCGCGATATGGACTGAAACTGCTAGTCAAATGCACTTGTCAGCTGCAGTGGTGTGGAGCAGAGTTGACATTTTTGTTAAAAAAAAAATTGCTTAATTTTGAATGCCAAAAAGACACTATAGGGTGATCAGCAAAATGCTGACTACGCCAAACATCTTTCATAACAAAGAATACAAACACTGCAGATCTGCTTTCAATAGCAGTTACAAGGCCCCCTGCTTTCAATAGTTAATACCAAGGCCCCCCTCTCACTGAGGCTTAGCAGTAACAATCAAAATCCTATGCTTAGAATGTTGACACACTGAGCACATTTCGAAAACCCCACATCTGTGTTCTCTATGGATGTTCTATTCTGTGTATCTCATACTCCTAGTCCAATCTAAAGTGTAGCATTTGGAAACGCTGAGCTAATCACTGCTTTTGTCGCCTCTCCTGAAAAGTTGTTTGCAAGACCCATAGTGGTAATTTTGGTAATGCATGAGCTCCTAGATTCAGCAACTGAAACAAAAAGAAGCTGGAGTAGTGTGTAGTTCCTAAAGGTCCATCAGCAAAGCCTTGGAGGGAAGTCATGGGAAACTGAAAATGCAGATGATTAGGAATAAAATGGAATTCTGGGGAGAGAGATAAAAAAGAGATGCCATGAGGAAAAATTAATATGTTGAAGATGTTGAATCCCAAATCTAATTGTATAGGAAAGGTGGAGGGCAGGGGTGAACAGATCAGTCGAAAAAACTTTGAGAAATGAATACAATCTGGAAGCACTGTATTCCCAAAAGAAACATGACATTCTTCGTCCCCTTCATCAAACTGGGAACAGATGAGCACTTAGGGTCGCAGGCAGAAATCCGGAGACTTGCTCCAACCAAGAAAGAAGTTACAAGGCATCTCTTTGCCTGTTTAGCATTATAATGACAGGTTTCAGAGGAACAGCCGTGTCTCCCTGCTAGCATTATAATGACTTTTCGAGACCTCCATGACTTCTACAGCTGGCAGGTACGACTGACCACAGGGCCGCTGCAGTAGCTCGGGCAGCCCCAGGGTCAGCTGCACTGATTTCCCCCCACCCAAGCAAGAGTGGCGGTCCTGAGCTGCCCCCACCAGCAGCAGTGCATCGGTCCCAAGCTGGCGAGGCTGCCCCCCACCAGCCGTGGAGGTCCCGGGCCGCCTGCTGCCAGCCGCAGCGGGGGTCCCAGGATGCCCTGCGCCAGCAGCGGTGGCTGCCATGGTCCTGGGCTGGCAGGGCCATCCCCTGGTGTGCTACCCCTGCCCCCAGGCAGTGGGTGCCCCGGAGGCCCCCCCAGGGCACCAGCGGGTGCCCCAGAGGACCCCCTCCAGCACAGCAGCTGAGCCCCCGGAGCCCCGCAAAACGCCAAAATTTAGTCAGGGGTTTATAGTAGAAGTCATGGACAGGTCACAGGGCCGTGAATTTTTGTTTATTGCCCCTGACCTGTCCATGACTTTTACTAAAAATGCCCATGACTAAATCTTATCCTTACTTATGAGTTTGAGTCAGTGCAAGACTGTGAATTCACTATGCAGCCCCCAGAAACAAGCACTTTGTGCCTGTTATGGGAGGAATCACTGATGTACTGTTTCTACATAGATTCCTGAATGGCAGATCAATAACAGAAAAAACTGTTTCTTGTATTCATCTACTCCTGCCTCTCAGCCAGTTTGGTCAAGGCAGAATTTTGCCTGCCCTAGCCAATGGGATTTTCAACTGAATCCACTCAGCAGAGTGTACAAAATATAATAAAATATATATACAAAGCGGTGCAAGAGGAGGGAGTGGAGAAAAGGGGATTGAGAGTGCTTATGACCTGGATGATGAAATACACATAGAATTGGGTGGGTAGGTGGGAATAGGAACAGATTTTATATATTTGTTGCAGAACTAGCAAAATTTCCTTGCACGTAGTCAATAATTTTTTTGATGGACAAGTGAGATATGTTTCCCCCCCCATTTTTATCCTGGTAAAAGGTAGCCAAGAGTTTTGGAACCAGAGCTAATGAAATTCCAGGACACTTTTGCAAGGCTTCTATATGTACCGAGTTCTCTGTCCACAGTGCCTAATTAATTTGTTAATAGGCAAGTGGAATATTCTTCCCTCCCCTGCCCACCTTCCCCCAAAACTTGTGTCAGGCTAAAGGGCAGACAAGTACATTTTTAGGGCATTTGTGCAAGGCTTCTATAGATTGGACTCTCTTGTTCAGTATATGTAGAAAAGAAATAAAAAAAAAAATACTCATTTAATCTCTTTTAAATTAAGTACCTGGTAGTGAGCAACATTATCATCACCTGCATTGGTGGTTCAGTGGTAGAATTCTCGCCTGCCACGCGGGAGGCCCGGGTTCGATTCCCGGCCAATGCAAGTCTCGCTTTTTGGCCCCCGTTTCCCCCCAGAATAACTTTGCCTCCATGCTTTTGCCTCGGCGATGGGGATGCGCCCCCGCCGAGGCCCACAACCACAGAAGGGCCCTAGGGCTGCGCGCCCTGAGTCAGGCGGCCTCAGCGCCGAGCTCCGTCAGGAGGCCCGGGCGTGCGGCAGCTCCGCCCAGAGGCCGGGCGGCCCCCGCGCGCGGCTCTGCCGGGACCAGAGCTCCAGGGGCGGGGGCGGCCTGGGCGTGCAGCTCCGCCAGCGGGCAGGCGGCGGCGGCGGCGGCGGCACGAGATGGAGGTGTAAGGAGCCTCGGCGCGCGCGTAGGCCGCTCCTGGGGCGCCGCGTGGGTGCGGCTGAGGGACCCCCCCACTCCCGCGCCGGCCGAGTACCCAGCGGAAGGGGCGTCCCCTCGGGGGGGGGGGCGGTCTGGCTGCGACGGGGGAGCCCCTCTGGGGGGGGTCTGGCCTCGGGGAGTGCTGGGGGAGGGGAGCCCCTCTTGGGGGGGGGTCTGGCTGTGAGCGGGAGCTCCTCGGGGGGGGGTGTCTGGCCTCGGGGAGTGCTGGGGGGGAGGGGAGCCCCTCTTGGGGGGGGGTCTGGCTACGGGTGGGAGCTGGGAGTGGGGAGCCCCTGTCGCGGGGGGTCTGGCTACAGGAGTGGGATGTGGACTTTAGAGGTTATGGGGACCCCCCTATTGGCTGGGATCTGCCTGAAGGGGGAGCTGGGCATGGTATGTGAGGTGTTTTCAGGGGGCTTCCCTTTCAGTTGGGGCTGACTGAGAATCTTGTGTAGGAGGTGGGATCCTGACCCCACAGGGCTGCTGAGGTGAGGTGAAGTGAAATTGCCCCTTAAACCTGGGGGAGTGAGGGTTCCCCTTCACCCATTTGCCAGCTGCTTCCGTGGCCAACGTCAGGGTTGAAGAAGGTGGTGGTGTTTGCACTTTGACAGTGTTGTGTCCTAAAGTCGCAGGGGTCTGTACTCTCCCAACGCTGCACCTCGACATCTAGTGCTTCCCATCATGGTACCACATCAGAATAATTGTGTCTTCTCACCTCATTGGTGCTATGTAGTATCATCCTGTACTGATGCAGAATTGAGGTGGGATGCACGACATGGCCGCAAAGTACCATACGGACCCATGAAATACATGAAGGGTAGCGCAGTGCTTTGTTGCACCCCAAATCTAATCGTTACTTCACTTTCTCCCTCTGTAAATTTAAGAGGAACATTGGGGAGGCAGGGAGGCTAAATACTTGGAATATGTTAAAAACTGTAATTATTTAGGTATTGATACTCCAGATCAGGCCAATACTCTTGGACAGTTTGTTAAGAGCTTTCCAATGAGAAACTGCATTTTTGTTTGCTTGAAAAATATTGCTGAAGTTATTTGAGTAAAACACTGTGGGAACAGTTTTAACCCTCTAATAAAACCATCCTCTCTGGTCAGACGTGCATGGACATAACATTCTCCCCATCTTCTTTCTCTGTTCTTGCCATAAAGTAAAATCCAAAGCCTGCTTTTCGGGATCCTTGGGGACCTTTATGCCTGCTTGCAAGAATGGAGCAGACTGGCACAGAGAGGGTGGAAACATAATATGCATGCACCTACAATTCAAAACACAAGAGGCAAGTCAAATTCTTGCCTAGCCTACTAACCTTGAAAGCGATTAAGACAATCAATCAAACAAACAAAAATAAACAAACAAAAAATCAAACAAAATTAAACATCAAAACAAACAAACCAGGAAGTTACTACAGCAGAAGAGTGCTGGTTCACGGCAGCAGTGCTAGGAACTCCAGCAATTTGTTGTATATCTGGGTGCTGTGCATGTTATAAAACACAAACCTATGTATTTCTAAATCGACAGTAGTACACACTTCCAAAAAGTTAAATGAAAAATTAGATTGTATGTCTCAGAGAGTTTAATCTATTTTGAATTTTAAAAATGAATTCTAGAGATAATAAACTATTATTTATAGAAAGCAAGTTTCATAAATGTTGACTTGTGCTGTTATCTACGTACGTACAGCACTGATTTCTGAGAAATATGGGTATTAGGTACTAGAACCTCAGCTGATGTATGTCAGCATAGCTTCTTCGCTGACATCACTGGAGCTAATGGTGTTCTATACCATCTGAGACGCTGTCTCTCCATTATTATAATTAAAGCTACTTATTGAAATTCAGAAGTTGATACTGAAGAGGGGTGTTGTTTTTATTACAAATATAGGATTGTATTCTGTCAGCCTTAAACCAAGTAGCAACTTTGAGAGTAAGGCCGCTGCCCTGCAAGCTACTGTGCTTGGAAGGACCTCTGTGTATGCATGAAGCAGTTAGCAGGATCAGGACATAAGTGGCAATTCAACATGTGACAGGATCTGGCTCATTGAAAAATTCCTACTCATTCCTTTGATGAGTAGGGCCTATCATAACTGAGGGTCTGATCCTGCAAACAAACGCTTATGCACATGCTTAACTCTACAACTGAGCGTGGCCCCACTGATTTCAATGGGACTGCTCATGGTAGTAAAGTTAGGTATGTGTGTAAGTGGTTGCAGGATTTGGGGCCTAGGATCCTGATCCTGCAGTGAGCTCCGTGGGAGTGGACCTTTGCCCAGTGCTGAGCCCCACTGAATGTGGTGGGAATATTGTGCAGTCCACCCCAGGTAGTACTCTCAGCCCTGTTGGGGCCTAGTGGACAAACACCCCCATCTTGTTCGTCAGCCAGTCCTCAGAAGAGGAAAATCTTCAAATAAAATTTTCACAGCGCTCTAGAGGTTCAAAGTGAAAATCTGTTCACAAAATGTTTTGGTTTAGAAATGGAATGTATTTTTCAGTGTTAAAAGCAGAAGGTGCCGATAATATTTTTTTTAAAAGAAGGGCTCCCATACAGTAATGTAAATAGTACTATATCAAGAAACATCTTTCAGTAATATTTCACTTAGGACAGCAATTAAAGCCATTAATATCTCTCTAAGGGACTCTAATACATTACAGAGTTGGTGTTAAAATCAAGTCAGTTTTCCTTTTCCATTAATCTCTGAGTCTCATTACAGTGGAGTGCTATATGTTTAGACATCTGATATGAAACTACGTATTGAACTGATATAAAATAAGTTCTGGTATTTTATGTACATTCTTTTCTTTAAATCTTTTGGTTGTTTTTTAGTACCCATAAGAGGGCTGGGACTGACGTGAAAACTGAAATCTGTACTTTATAAACGGTGCCAGTTTTTCATAAAGATATAACTCAGCATGAATAAGCACACTAGCAATAATGTTTCTATTGTTCAATTTAAAATCCTACTAGCCTGGCAAAATATAAAATGTTGAGACGATCCAAGGTCTGTATGGGTTTAGGTTTGGCACACGAAAAAAGTGAAAGCCCCTGAACTGTAGAGATATACAGTTTTTAACACAAACCAATCCTTTGACTTAAATGTAGTTTAAAAAACTTATTCTCCACAGACTCATATCCTGTAAACCTTGTGTTTACTGTACGATAATCATCTCACTTTTTAATTGGATGACTTTATATGTGATTCTTCCATGGCATTATTATTATTATTTACAATAAAGAATGTCCTCATCCACAGGGATTTCTGTGGAGACTGACTGAATGCAAAGATTCTAAAGAACTGCATTTACCAAATAAACAAAAGTGATATGGTTCGTAAAACATGAATGAAAACTGATGTGTGTGAGCTTACTTACTGAAGTTTCTCTTGAGTCAGTTTAGGAGGTCCCTTTCATTTAAAAACAATAGTAGAACCTGTGGAAGTTTGTGGAAGGCATTTAGCTTGTTTGAATTTGATGAATGTGACAGTTCTATTCAAACAGTTGACTGCTTGACAATACATTCTACCTTTTTTATATGGTGCAACACAGACGTCCGAGAAAAGCCTTTTTTTTGTTTGTTTGTTTGTTTGTTTTGTATGGTAACTTTCTGTTGTTGTTACTACTGTCTGCTCAGCAGAACATATTGTTCTGATGAAGTATGGTGCTCTTGACTAGTTTTTCTACATAACATTTATTTAAAAAAATAAATTACAGTATTCTCTACTTAGTTAGGGCATGCTTAACTCAGAGCAAACCTGTTTAGCATAGTGAATGTCAATGATTCTTGGTTAATTGGGACAGAATTATTATATATTTCACTTAATAGGGAAGCATTTGGTTGGTGTTAAGTAATGGGAAGCTCTAAACTTCAGTCTGCTAGTGTAGAACTTGTCAAATAAACATTAAAAGAACAAAATAAAGGTGAAGTGCAATGAATATTATTTTATTCTTTCATTTGTATTCTGTATTGTATATATTTTTCTTTTTTATAATGGTCTTCTGTAATGGTTCTGCTTATCACTCTTCACTCAGACAAAACTTCAGGGAGTTTTGTCTAATCCGGGAGTAATGGGGCAGATTCTTAATTAGGATGATAAGCCATTCAGTGGGGGTGTGCAAGTTAAACACTTCATGATGCTTTGTGTGCTGAGTTGTAGCCAAATATTCTTACACAGTTAGTTTGTGTAATGGCTGCATTTGAAGTGTGCAAAAATAAGTAACTCCTAAAGGCAGCAATAGCCAGAAATGATAGAGGATTTAACAGAATTTTGATCCTGAAGATTTTATAAAAAAAAAAAAAATCTCTGCAATTAACAAAGTGTCCCCTTTTTTAGTGTAAACACATCAGCAAAGAATAGAGAATAGATTTCTGACAGTTTTGTTTGAGACACGCATAATTTTCTCTTTTTCAGGAAAGACGCAAATGCTGCCTTGCTGAGTAACTTTGAGGTAAGTTTATTTGTACCATGATTTTAAACTGACAACTTATCCTTTTGATGTCAGTGAGAGCATGTCCCGGTCCAAATACAAATAGTGTCTCCAGGGAGTTTTAAACAGGATATCAGGGAGATTTGTGTATGACTTGATTTTTCATGTGTTGAATTTTTTGTTTTTATAAGTTTGGTAGAATGGGTGCTATTCCTGGCTTTAAAGGGGACCTAGAAATGCTGTTGTTTGTACTGTTTGCATGGTGAATGACAGCAAGGTTTGATCCCGAATCTGAAGATGAAGGAAAGTGTGGGTCCACTACTTGGTGGGGAAGGAGAGTTAAGAATGCATGACATCAAGAAAGCTGAGGTATTTAATGCCTATTATACTTCATTCTTTGCTATTGAGGTTAATAGTGACCAGATACTTCACACAATTAATATTAACAGCAAGGGGAAAGGTGCACAAGCCTGAACTGTGAAAGAACAGGTTAAAGAATGTTTAGATAAGTTAGATGTATTCAAGTCAGCAGGG